AGAGTCGAAACCAGTGGGTAAGGATGGGTCGTCTCCACAAGGGTAGCCTTGCATCCTTACCTCCTCGGTCCACTCATGACCACTTTCGATGGCCAGCCCCGCTCGAAAAAGCTTCGGCATGGGCGCTCAAACGGCTTGCATCCGTATCGTGCATCCTCTCGGCGGCTCGCCCGGGGGGTGGTGAGAAGGGGCGGGCCTTCCCAGAAGGCTCAGAAGTCCCCCGGCCTTCTGAGGCATGTTTTGGGCTTTCCCCGAAGCACAGAAACCATCTCAGAATGCCAGAGGGCTTCTGAGAAGCCCCGCCGCCTTCTGAGAAAGCCTGCTCCCTCTGACTCCCCCTCCTTCGCTCGCCGCCGATCCTTACTGTCAGTTTTGACTGCACTTGTGCCTCTAGGCGCCCCCTTCTTCTCCCCCCATTCGTGCCGTCCGCTCACCCCCCCAATGTCCCGTCCCCACTGCTGGCGCCCTCGTGTCGGCGGCGAGCCCGGGGGTTGGACTGAGACGGGGCGGGCCCTCTCAGAAGGCTCGGTTAGTCCTCGGGCGTTTCGCGAAGTTTCCCAAGTTTTTCACGAGGGCACAGGAACATTCTCAGAAGGCTGGAGGGCTTCCGAGAAGCCCCGCCGCCTTCTGCAAGGCCTCCTCCCTCTCACTGCCCCCCTGCTCGCCGCCGGTCATGTCCAGCTCCAGCAGAGTTGTGATCAAGAGGCGATCGTGGGACTGTGCGCGGCGATCTGCCCCCAACACTTGCATGCCCGTGGCGCATTCTAAGATCAGTGCGTGGTCATTCCGAAGCGTGCTCTTGGCTTCGCCGCCTGGTGCTGCAACCTAGACTCACGTTGTTAGGCGGACGAGCGGCGCCTGGTACGCTCCGAAGTTCTTTTGGCCCATCCTTGCCCACGTGCCTCATTATCCCGGCTCTACTGCCATATGTCGTCTCAGGTGCTGGACCGCTATCCCTCACGTTGGCACCTCAGCCGCCCACTGGCGGGTGAAGGAAGCCGTATGCCGCCCGCTTTCTTGTTGACCCGCGCCTTCCTGCCGCCCCTGCCATCTGTCGTCTCGAGTGCTGGCGCCCGCTCTCCCGCACACGGACGCGCCAGCCGCCCCCTCGCGGGCGCAGGGGGCCGCATGCCCGCGTTCCTGGTGACGGGCGCGAACAGGGGGCTGGGCTTCGAGATTGCGCGGCAGCTGGCTTTGCATGCCTGCACAACCGGGCGGAACGCCCAGGTGTGGCTGGGCGCGCGGGACGCTGAGCTCGGTGCCCGGGCCTGCGAGCGCATCCGCGCGGAGCTGGAGGAGCTGGGCGCGGCGGAAGCGAAGGGGCGCTGCGGCGTCGCGGTGACGCCGGTGCGGCTGGACGTGCTGAGCGACGAGAGCGTGGATCACGCGGCCCGCGAGGTGGCAAGCTTGGACGTTCTCGTGAACAACGCCGGGTGGGCCGCCAAGGGCAAGGCGTTCGACGCGGAGGTGGCACGTCGCACGTTGGGCACCAACTTTGGCAGGTGCGTGCGCGCCACGGAGGCGTTCTTGCCGCTTCTGCGGCGGTCCCCAGGAGGCCGGCTGGTAAACCTGTGCTCGTCAATGGGCAGGTTGTCGCGCAGGCGCTACGCCGACGGTGTGCTGCAGCGCTTGCGTGCCGCAGCGGGCTCGGGCGCCCTGGCCGATGTGCAGGCGTTGGCGGAGGACTTCGTGCAGGCGGTCGGGGACGGCAGTTACGCGGACAAGGGCTGGCCGCGGCAGGCGTACGCGGTCTCGAAGGCGCTACAAATCGCAGCGACGCGCGTGTGGGCGCGGGAGCAGGTGGGGCGGCTCCGTGTATCCGCCTGCTGCCCTGGCTGGTGTAAGACAGACATGGCTGGCTGGGAGAGGCCGCCCAGAAGCGCCGCGCAGGGCGCGCAAGTGGCGGCGTGGCTGGCGACAACCGATAACGTGCCCGAGCCCAAGGGCCGTCTCTACCGTGACGGAGTGGCGATTCCATGGGAGGTGGACCGTAATGGCCTGCTGGGATCTGCAATATCGTGCGCGTTCGTTGTCCATCCCGTCGCTTCCTCGCCAAGCACTGCCGCGCTGCCTCATGCTGCTCCTGCTGCTGATCCTCCTCCTGGTTCTCGTCCATGACCTCCTCCAGCTCCTTCTCCCTCTCATCCTGCCTCGCCTCATGCTCCGTTCGTTCCAGCTCGGGCGAAAGGGGGCCGGGGAAGAGGGGCTGCGAGAATTACTTCGCACGGCTTGTTTCTTACGTTTTATGTTTTCCGGAACTTGTCTGCCCCGTGCATGGTGGCCTTGCCTCGTGCCCGACGCTGGTTCGACATGAATTCGACTCGAATCTGGCTTGCATGCGAATCGGATCCGCCTAGCTAAGGCATACAACGACAGATAGGCCTCGGAAGAAATTTGCGAACACATGCCACATTCATCCGTCAACGCCTCCCCCTCCCCCCAATGTTCAAAGTTGGCGGTGGGTCTGATGAGGTGCACTTCGACCGCAGTCTCCCGCGCG